GGGGGGGGGGGGGGCGGAAAAAAAATTAACCTGTGCCTGCCTGCGGCGTAGCGAGGGTGTTTGGCGCCCGGGGACAAGATTCGCGCCCGGGGACAAGATCCATTTTAAATCGCCCCCTTTTTCTTTTTTTTCAACTCTAAAACCCATTATTTTCATCAATAAAATAATATAAAAGCACAGTTTGGCGCCCCTAACTACCTGGCGCCCGGGGAAATCTGCCCCCCCTGAACCCCCCTCGCTACGCCTCTGGTGCCTGCATACATAATTTGTAAATGTATCAAAGTTCCACGAACATAATTTTCTCGCAACACTTAAGGTATACATTTCCATTTTTAGTCAAAGCACCAAGAAGCACCAATTCTTTCTTTTTTTATTATTATTCAAACATACGTGAGTTTCTATGACCACTCCCTTGTCAACTCAAAATGACGACGGAAACATGACAATGAGTTATTATACTACAAACTATAAGCTAAACTTTTATGTAAATAGGAATTGATTTTTATAATTAACTGTGGATTGATTGATTTACATGATTGCAGCTAGAGTAGAAATTCATTCTGATTCGTCACATTATATAATGCACATGTGCACTGACTGCACTGTGATTGGATTAATTGGAAAAAAGTAAAAGAATCATTCAAATTTTAAAATATTGGACGAAACGATGAGACTTATTTATTAGTACTATTAACTAATGATAATTAATAGCCAAAAGCCTATTACTATTATTATCTTTTATTTAATTTATTTGCAACATTAACATAATTTTAATTAAATTTGATGTATTACTACTATTACTTTTTAAAATTTATTTTAACTAAGTCTAATGACTCGAGTATAGTCATTAGTTACTCATGTCATTATTAGTATACTTATAACTTATACTATTTTTGGCCTACCTAAGCCTAAGCTAAAGTACAATGACAATAGTCAGTTAGTAACTACTACTACTGTTAGAATTAACAATTAATGACATTTGCATTAGAGTTAGAGTAATCTGCAGTGTTATTAATAATTATTAATATTTTAGACTTAAACTATAACTATTGTATTTGTATTATTGTAATATGTTATAATATTATTGTATCAGTATCAGGACCCAGGCACTCAGCTATCGTATTACAATATATAATAATAATAATAATACTGGATGACAATTGCTATGGAGACTATCTTCTGTCTATCTATATACGATTAATTATAAATATAATATAATATATATCAATTGTTATTAAATAATTATAATTATTATTTATTAAATTGTTTAGGTCCATGTCCTAAGCTTATATTATTTATATTTAGGCCTACAATTGCCTACAACAATTACAATTTGTTTTAATCACCAGAAAACTAGCTTATCACTAAGAGTCTGGGATCTGATATTTTTTTACAACTTAATAACTAAACAACTTAGCTTAAGCAATATCAATAACCATTTTAAAAATTAGAACAGTTACAAAAACTAAATAGGTAGTATTTGGCTAACAGTAAATTTATATTTATCATTAATCATTATGTAACCTTTCTTGGGCACTTTGACTTTGACTATTTACTCACTCATTGTACTTAAGCTCCTGCATCTCATGATAACTTAGTAGGCCTACTTGGTCAAAATTACTTGACATAATTAATTATTGAAAACACAGTACAAGTGACATAACAGCAGGGGTGTCATTTCAGTGTTTTTCAGGGGAGGGGGAGGGGGAAACCAAAACTTGGTTGGCTTGTTAAGTTGTTTATTACAGGATGCGCCACAGTACATAGCAATTTAAATAAAATCTGCACATGGGGGGGGGGGGTATGTCCCAGCCTGCCTTACTCAAATGATGTCCCTGCAAATGCAAAACAGTAAGATTAAAAATAAGATTAAGCAAAATAAATTTGAAAGTTATGAGATCTGTTGTTGAAGGATTTTGATGTTAATATATTAATCACAGTACATAGCAATTTAAATAAAATCTGCACATGGTGGGGGGGGTATGTCCCAGCCTGCCTTACTCAAATGATGTCCCTGCAAATGCAAAACAGTAAGATTAAAAATAAGATTAAGCAAAATAAATTTGACAGTTCTGAGATCTGTTGCTGAAGGATTTTGATGTTAATATATTAAATATCACAAAAATTACAGCTTTTCATATATTAGAATATATTAAATAGTAATTAACACAATCATCTGAATCAAGGTTGTAGGATTACTAATTAGAAGTGTGTTATGCAATAAATCCGGAGCAAATGTGGAGCAATACAAATGCAGGCCTATCTACTCTTGAAACATAAATTTAATGTGATGTCATTTTTCAAATTAAAAAAAAAAAAAATTAAAAATGCAGTTACTTCCAATGGAAAACATTTCTGCTGTATGACTAATTAAATAATACATTAAATTACATACACAGAAAACAATTTCCTAAGTTAAAAGGCCAATAATCTAAATCTAACATTCTCAAGAATTTATCTCTATTCCTTTTATCTTAAATATTTAAAAATAGCCTGCATATCCATGAATAACCTCTTATCTTTCAATATTTTAAAAAACTTATTTAATAATTGATCTTTCAGGATAGAGGATTAATTTATAAAATAAATAAAAATGTCTACTGAAAGTAACACTTCTTTGAAGAAACTGAACAGCAGCTCAACAAAAAGTAAAGCTGTATTTGATGGTCATGTTGCTGGCTCTGGTCATCGGTCAACAATAACTGATGAATCACTGCACGTAAGAGTATTAAGTTATTTATTAGAGTAAATGCAATGCCTTAAATTAAATACTTTGAAAGAAGAATTATAACAATATTTTACAATAAGTAAAAAATGACAAGCTAAATTTTTAGAGGTAGCAGTATTTAAACTTTAAAGAGAAAATAACTTGATGTCATTATTATGTAAACAGCTCTGATTTTTGTTGGACATGAATTAACTGTATGATTCAAGAGTCTTGAAAGTACTTAAGTTTAGTTAAAGCCTTTAAATTAGAAAATTAGTTTAATTTGGCAACTTGAATTTTGCTGATAGATTTTTGAAAGTCATCATTTGCAACAATTAATCATTTGTACATGAATATTTATTAATCATTTATTTACGATTTTAAAAAAATTTAGAAATTTAATGGCATCAACATATATTTAATGTCATCAATGTATATTTTATGATATGAACTATGTATATTCAAATCGTCAATAGACAAATGCCAAAGAATATAGGGAGGAGAGAAAATCAATGCTCCTGAAGCATGACCGCTACTTGTTCACAGTTTGTTCCCATTATCTGAATATTTCAAATGAGGAAGTAGAGGATTTTGTGCTCGACACACATGAGGTACTGTGGTAGTCTATCTTTCTAGGATTTAAGCCCTTATACTTTATGAAGGCCCCTATACATAAAATATTTTTTTGCAATTGCTACTACCAAAAAGGAAGAAGGGTGTTTATTTTGGATATATTATATATCAAGAACACAAAAATGATTGTATTCCTCTGTCTAGCTTTAATTAAAATTTTCTGCATTTTCCTATGGCATATTTAGTGTTTTGGCTTGTTATTGTTCAAATGCAATAATCACCACCTATTTCTGTAATTTCCCATTCATTATTTTTCTAGGCTATTAAAGTTCTGGCAGAATTTGCTGGTAACGACAGTGATGAGGTCTTACTTTTTATCTACAGGCTTTGCAAGGCACCAACTTTTTCTGGTAAATTAGCATTATGTTTCTTATGACAAGTCATATAATTTTCTTAGCATGCAATCTCTCTTCAGCTTTTTATTGAAGTTGAGAAATAACAAGCTCTTTACCCAAGTGTTGCTTTTCATGGAAGATACTATTTTATGTCAAGCAAATAAGTGATAACTAGTCAAATTAAAAAAAAAAAAAAAAAAATTTAAATACCCCCCACCCCAAGACCCACACAACCCCCACCCTCATATCAGATGAAGATATAGATATATTCATTGCATTGAATGGGGTTGGTCATATAACCTCTACATTTCTTCCAGTGTCGATCTTTTGAACATATTCCTAAAAAGCTTATGACTCACCAACAATTTTAAAGGGTCTGCATTGCATATTTTAAAAAATTAATGCTGTTCTAGATGTTGTTTCTCTTGTTTGGTTTGGGTTTGAGTTTTTTTATTTACCAAGAAATTTAGGGAAAGAAATTGTATAGGATCGACAAGGGCTGAAAAATTGAAATGGTCTTGAAAGATATATTAGAAGCTGCTGTAGACTGGAAGGCAGCTTGGTATCAGTGAGACTCAAGGCAAGATATTCAGTTGGTCCATAGATTAAATTCAGACCAGGCCAAACATTTCTTTAACAGGAAATAGGTTGAATGACTCGAACAAAACTTGGGGATAATATAGTTTGTAGCAAGAAAATGTTATCTCCTCTATTAAGTGTACAAATGTTAGTCCCCCTCTCCCTGTCTGCAGGTTTCAATCAATATTAAGTTAGTCATCTAAAATTTTGCCCTTTTTCGTTATCTCTGTTAGAATGTGGGAGATCCTATGGATACTCATTTAGAGAAAATGCCAACAAGTTGACGATGCGAACATTAGTCTCTGTTGCTGGCCGTGAGAAGGCTCAGGAGGGCAAATGTATCTTTTTCTTTAAAAGATATGACTCCTCATTTGATGATAAGAATATCGCTGAGGTAAGAGTTATGTGTTTCTTAATGTTTAAATGACTCAAACGATTGTTTTCATGTTTAAGCACAGTTTAGTATAAATTACCTGCTGGGAAGCAGTTGGGTTTTTGATTTTGAAAAAAAATCTGAAGTTTCAATCACTGGATACTGGTAGTAGGATATTTTAAGGATGTGCAGGGAATTGATTTTTAAAAAAACAACATTTTGCTAATTTCTCAATCACTTTATAAATTTCATGCATTCCTCATAACTCTTCATTTCTTTCTCTCACATTTTTGTCATTTGAATTTTTCAATTTAGCTTTCAGTTTGTTCACAGCCCATTGAGAATAAAATCATTTCTGTTCTTCAGCTTTAGTGTGTTAATAAATAGTTCTCTGCTCTAATTCAATACTGATCTAACAAAATTATTTTAACTTCTACTCTACAGGCTGTTGTATGTGGGTCTCTTCATATCTCAGAGGGCACCAGTTTGTTGGGGTCCATCTCGGAGCAGATCTCTAAGATCTATTATCCAGCTCTGACCAGGCTTAAACTATTCACAAGTTACAAGAGATGGGACTCGGTAACAAAGTGCCACTACAATGAGATGTTTTGCAGCATAGAGAATTTCATTCGCCATCTGTCATGTGAGCTTAAGTTTTAAACAAAAAAATGTATTGGTTTCATTAAATAAGCAATGTATATGACACTTTGTATTTAGGATTTTAAGTACATATTACACTAGAAACAACCTGCCGAAGAATTGTGTTTGCAAAGCATGAACTTTCCATCTGCTTAACTTACTAAACAAAACATACATTCACATAAAGCACTTGATAAGAATCCCAATTAGTGCTAATTCTGGAAATTTTTGCGTTCCTTTTTGTTATAATATTCAGTTTACATGGATGATTTGATTGAAAGGAAAACTTAATATGTTTGCTCTATATTGATTTTAAATTCTTTGAACTTTTTGTTTGTTTCAGGGGGTAATATACATACTTTGGGGGCTGTGGGACTTGGCACTCTGCCAGACCATGGCAAGATGGCTCTCGTAAATGCATGCAAAAATGTCAATGACTGCATTTCTGTGGCCCTGTCCAAGTCGTACGTGGTTGTTTTTGAAGAGCTGGCAACTCTGTGGTGTCAACAGGTGGAAATTGTGAGTCATTCTTTGAACTATCAGTGTAAACACTGTCTCACTTATGTTGGCTCTGCACCACAAAAATATCGCATGAAAAGCAATATTTTGTAACTTAGAGATATGTATAACGGGTATGTCAAACTCTTGCCATCAAGTTGACTGCTTGACAGAACTTTTGTTGGAACATGGACTTCATTACCCATACATTTTGTTTTTATTAATTAAAAAAAAACCTCAAATTACTTGTAAAAACAAGATTTAAAATTACTTTGTTATAGTTTTGAGTGAAAAGTTAATCCATAATTACAAATGTACCCAGTAATTTGATGTTTCATTTAGCTGACAAAGTTTTGAATGATGGTCTGGGGTTAAAGATATATTTCTTGTAAGAATCCTATTCCAAAATATATGATTAATAATCATGAGGAGGTGACTTTGTGGTACACATAAAAGGTCTCAACATCTTGGAACTTTTGAATCACATTCCACATTAAAAAACTATTGACTGTATTTCCACTGTGGTGAAAGGGTGTGGTAAAAAAGTGCATGCATGGGGGCAGGGAGGGGGAATGCTGCTGTCTAGAGTAAACCTGATACAATAAAAGTATAATGAAGCTTGTCATTCATAGCTCACATATTTCAATGTTGCAGATGCTCCTCGATGCTGAACGTATTCAACGTGAAGCTGATGACATTGGCCCCAAAAAGGAGCTTGAGTTTTGGCTCCAGAGATCGGCCCACTTCAGTTATCTTGTTCAGGAGATCCGTAAAGAGAGGGCTCGGATGGTATTCCACGTACTTTACATATGCAAATCACCTGTCATGGAGAAATGGAGGGAGCTGGACATGAAGGTGACTGACCAGTCCAATGAAGCCAGGGACAATGCAAAGTATCTCTATATACTAGAGAAATACTGTGAGCCTCTGTATCGCTGTCAGCCAGTAAGTGCACTCATAATAATAATACAGGAGACAAATTTGAATTAATCTTAAACATCTTATTTTATCTCTTTAACTCCTGGGGAGGGGCATTTCCACAGTTGTACCAAGCACTTTCAGTGGCAGAACAAAAACACTGTTAAAAATTTATATATAAATCCTGAGATTAATATCCTCGTTTTATAGCCATTTTAATTGTTTCTATAGTATAGTAGTTACTATCCTAGTGTCTAATTTTTATTTTACTTAGATTACATGTTTTTAATAATTGTAAAGCGCTTAGAGCTTTAAGGTAAGCGCTATATAAAAATGCCTAAATAAATAAATAAATAAATATGAGGAATACATCCAAAGTTTGGGGAATCAATGGACATTAAATTGAATCTACTTTTCTATAAAATGAATTTGATATAAATTTGGACAACAGCACAGGCAAGAATAGATATGAAAAAAATAATTCACATGTGTCCAATTACAATAAGTTTATTTTTAAAAATTTTCAACGGATTGACAAAATATTTTTTTAAACAGACAGTATATTTAACAAACAAACAAAAATCTTCAAATTTTCTTCAAGTTTGATAAAAAAGTTTCCACATTTTAGCGAAACATAGAGTGGAAGAAAAATGTAGAATTATTTTTTCAATAATTACCATCAAATAATTTATAATCCTCTCATTTTCCTGAGCCTAATATAAATGCTATACCCTAAGTGTTACAAATCATTTGAAAGGGAATTACATGTAGTTTTAATAAAGGTTTTTAGAGTTGCAATCAGAAATTTAATAAAAATCATATTGAATAATTAATTTTTTTTTTTAACTTGCGGGCAAAAATTAATGAAAACCGGCAAACACTACCAGTTTATTATTTATCACTTTTCAAAAATCGCTCCTAGCATTTTTAGACTGATAATAAATCTAAATAAAAAATCTAAATGTTTTCAAAATTGGATGAAATCGTCTATAAGCCAAGGTTTGGGTGTTATCCTATGGCTGTGGTGATTTGTAAAATCCAGTCTGGTTACACACTTGAAATTTAAAAACACTGAGTAGTGATTTATTTATTCTCAAAGTGTTTCTTTGCACACTGATAATAATGTCCACTATGAAATGTTATCTGTCACGAAGGTAAGGCAATCTATCTCTGAGTTTGTGTAGTGTGATGTAGATTTGGATTTACATTTTGACTTTGTTAAATCAAAAATTATCTGCTGTTCCGTCCACTTCTCGACACTGTTTAGGTAACAGAGGCTTGTCATCCACATACTTTGATAAAGTTTCAGTTGTTTGCAAGTGGATGGCATAAGGGCTATTCTTATTAGTACTAGTATTAATATCAGTTAACAGTTCAAGTTCAGTAGTTTTAGCAAAATTGTATGAATCAGCCCATGGCTCTTACTATAAATGTTTTCCAACTTTGTTCAGGGCTATACCCCCCATCTTGAGACCACTTCTTGAGACCACTTCTTGAGACCACTTCTTGAGACCACTTCTTGAGATCACTTTTTGATACATTTGTAACACAAGCTTTTAACATTAGGTAGTCAACATTTTTCTTACTCAGATGCCATAAATGTAAAAATAATATTTTTTTTATCATATAGAAGTATTTGCATTAAATCTAGAGCTTGGCTAGCAGTAAGTCTGTCATGGGGCATTTTTCTGACCCGCTTGGCACAATCAAAATAAATGAAATCAGGCTGTAAACAGGAAACAGCTTATTGAATCCCAAAACAAAATGGCTCACCAGACACAGGGAGGTGGAACCATAGCTTTACACCACTTTAGATTTTTATAAAACTATATTTATAGAATCGTCAAATCGGCTTTATGGGACAGAAATGGAAAATCAACAAGCTGGTACATTTGGCTCACGAGACTCAAAACATTAATGTGGTTAACTGCTCTTAAACTGTGGTTAACTGCTCTTAAACTGTGGCTAACTGCTCTTAAACTGTGGTTAACTGCTCTTAAACTGTGGTTAACTGCTCTTAAACTGCTGCTTAATTAATTATTTTTTTAAAATGCATTTTACAATGTACTTAAATAATTATTATTAAACTATTGAAAAGTTTTCATAAAATATTTTAAATGGAAATTAGTTTCAAAACTTTCACCTGAGAGTCACTTATATGTTTAAGCATTATCGAAGGGGTCATTGAGATAAAATGTTTGTCCAGCGATTTTGCAGTTTTTAAAAATGACTTTGTTTCACAGAATGTATTTATGTAATCCCCAGAAAGCAATGATGGACAATTTATCTGGACTAATTGGAGCTATTCGCCTGATTTACAATTTCTCCAAGTACTACACTAGTCCTGATAAGGTTTCACGGATATTTGTCAAAGTAAGCTCAAACATTTTGAGCTACATGTTTTGGAATAAATATCAAATACTTCATTTTTATTTTGATACAATTTATGCTAAAATGTGGAAGAGCTTGTTGGTATGATCACCTTCTTTATATTTATTCCAACTTTAGAGAAAGGTTAATTAGGTTTGAGAATTTAATGCTGAACCAAATCTTCATTCCATTTCTTATGTCTTTTCAAGATTACTAACCAGATTGTCACAGCCTGCAAGATGCATATATCAGACAGGAACTCAAGTGAATTGTGGGACTTGCCCAGAAAGGAATTTGAGTCTCGTATAAAAGATTGTCTCAAGTATGTTGGCAATCTGATTCACTTTAAGCTATATTATACCGTCACACCAGCCATATTGTATATCAATCTCATATTCCAGTAGTAGTCTTGTAGTAAAAAAATATCAGATATTAGTAATTTTTCTTCAGAGCTTCAAGTCGTATTCAAGTCATTACATCCACACTTCACTGAATTAATTATATTTTTGGGTAGTTATTTTATTTGTACTAGTGTAAAAATTGACAGAGGATGTCTGTCTATCCAATTAAAAATAGTGCCACAGTTCCACACTAAGTGAATGTTTGGAATATGTGCACTGTATTGTATCTTAAAATGTGTCAGAGGCTCTTTTCTAATTTAATTATTAATAATGAAAGGAAATAGACAAGGAATTTTTTTACTACCAAGAGTTTTCAAAAAACATTAATCAAGATTTATAAGCCTTTTATCTTTACTAATGTTTTATAAATATGTTTTCACTGGTTAAGCTCTAATGGTTTATATCCCTCCATGTGTAGACTCTTCCATACCTACATCAGTGTCTATCAAGCTACCAAGAAGAAGATTGCTAGCAGCAACTGTGAACGCCACTTCAACTTCTCAGAGTTTTACATATTTGGCAAGATTTACTCATTCCGGGCACGACTTGAAGTGGTAATGTTTAAAAAGAGTACAAACTTGATCTCCTTTTAGTTGAATATATTGTTAAGCCTTTTTTTTAAAATATTGCCTTTGAGGTTTTAAGTAAACTTTTTTTTTTTACAACTTATTATTACAGATAATATTATATTAATCATACAAAAATGAATACAACTGTGTTTGTTTATTTTTAAAAAAGCCTTTCAATTAAAGAAGTATTCATTAGCATATAGGTAGTTGGAGGGGGGGGGGGGGTCATGAATGTGTGTAATGATGTGTCAAATAGTGTTTAATTTGTGTGATGATGTGTGAAATAGTGTTAAATGTGTGTGATGATGGGTCAAATAGTGTTAAATTTGTGTGATGATGGGTCAAATAGTGTTAAATTTGTGTGATGATGGGTCAAATAGTGTTAAATTTGTGTGATGATGGGTCAAATAGTGTTAAATTTGTGTGATGATGGGTCAAATAGTGTTAAATTTGTGTGATGATGGGTCAAATAGTGTTAAATTTGTGTGATGATGGGTCAAAAAGTGTTAAATTTGTGTGATGATATTATAATTGAATTTTTTTTAGAGGGGCGTGGGGTGTAAATATCTGACACAATAGCATGAGGTCATTTGTAGATAGACCTTTACATATAGATTTTTGGTTTACTATTATGTAACACTAAATTTTATTTACA